ACAGGATAGCTTAGGTGGTTGACCAGTCCTGGGTTTAGATAGGTTGCTGCCAGTTGTGTTCCAACGTTGGATAGTCTTCTGGATTGCACGACGTGAACAGCCAAACTCCTCTGCCAGCTCCTTGGTACTGCAGCCAGCTTCATGCTTAGAGATAATAGAATCTCTTTGACGCACTGATAATTCACCTCCTGTGACACGATTTGCTGAAATCTGAGCTCCAAATGAGGTCATGTTGGTTGTGCAGTAAGAGGTTGAAGTTGGGATGATTGATCACGAGTTCAGCGTTGAGGAAAAAGTCCGTGCTGATGCGAACAGACTAATTAACAGACCCTGTAGATCCCAAGATTAATCTTTGAAAAATGGATAAGGAAAGCATCAGTACTCCTCCCTTGAATGTCCTAGGGAGAATCCAAATACATCAAATAGAGGCCAATAGTTCTTAACTACATGCCGAATCGTTGTTTACTACTAAGGATAAGTTTGAGCCGCCCGTTGCAGATGAATATTCTCGAAGTCATCGTCGAAACCTTTCAGCAATCTTGGACATCATGTCAGCACTCAACTCAGCTCTTGAGCGTCTGAAAGCTACTGAAACTCGTCGATTGCATTCTAGAGTGCGGTAGAGGAATTGCCAGAACTGGATATTGCTTTAATGTAGAAAGATGATTTCCGCAATGCTTTGCGCCATACGGATGGATCTGCAGTAGAAGGTCTCTACTAGCTGCTCGCATACGCTGATGCTGAGGTTCTTTTCAACGTTGTTAGATATTTAATGGCTTACAAACGATTCTACTATCTGAATTAAATGGACAACAATCGAAGAAAGGACATTATGATGAGATATTCTCTACTGGACCGGGGCATCAAGATGCGCTGACTGGAGCTCGTCCAGGAGACGACTCTGGACTTGATGAAGGAAGATATCCAGGAGGCCTACATCGTCACGACAGTTGGTTACTTCCCACAGCTTTATGCGCCGAGCATGTATACATGCTGTGTGTGCGACCACTAGGACAGAATCCTGGAGAGTGTTCGCGGGATGGACTTGTGTAAAACACACTTAATCTGTGAGGAATGTTTAATCTAGGTCTTGGCGAATCAAGTCGAAGCGCCTACATGTTACGGTTGTGACCGTGAGCAAAGTGAGGATTTGGTACTTATCAGATCCTATCGTAATTCTGGTCGCAACACTGGTTGATGAACTGCGTTCTTCCCGTCTTTCGGAGTTGGCTAGTGTCGGAGGGGTGAAGGTATCCACCGATTGCCATCTGTTTGCTAGCGGTCGGCTGCAGTGACTGTCCAGCTCATTTGGTTAGTTCAGTTTGCTTCCCACCCTTCACTGCTATCCCCTTATACTATATAGTCCCGATCGATTCCAGCCAATAGCTCAGAGGATCAATAAACATCTCAACCCTTCAACACTATCTTCTCCTGCTGGATCCTGTGCGCTCCCTACCTGTTAGGTACAATGCCCAATGAAGTGCCTGGTTGGATTCCACCGCTCGGCACTCGGCCTCACGTTAATATGTGTGCCTACATGTAACTGCGTGAGCAGTGTCGGTAGGAGGTTTTGTTCAATGATTGTATTGCTATCTGTATTGTTGTTCGGTGATGTTGTTGTGTAAGAGTTCTCAGCTCAGAGGTAAGTGCACTTGCTCCAGAGCAATGCCTTCTACAATAGGATATCATGTGACTTAAGCCGCGTAGTTACAAAAAGAGATCGAAACCACGACTCCATTCCAGACTTTGCCGCCAGTGCCATGGATCAAAGCATATATGCCATGGCGGTTTCTGTTGCGGTAGATCGTGAGTGATCAGTGCGCATGTGCAGAAATATTGAAGGATTGAACTTGGGTTGTATTATACGAAGCTACGAATAGTATGTATAGGTGGGTAGCTGTATATAACGCTAGTGTGGCATGGCAGTCACTCTCATGGCAGGTGAGGTACGAGAGGCAGGAGCACCCTAAACCGTGACAGTTTCAGACTGGCAGGCAAGGATTGCAGCTAAGATCAGCATAGAAACGTTACTCAAGGAATTTCAACAACTTAAGCGCGCCCTGTGGCTTAAGTTGTTGGAATGATGTGGAGTAACAAGGAGATTGAGTTCATAAAGAAGGTTTGTTGTGCAACTTCTGTTCGCGTGACAGCTAGGCACCTGCCAGGCACAACAGTATATCCGTGATTTGAAACACCAGAGTGCTTTTACCGCAACGCGACATAAATCAGTAGCCTATGCCGGCGATAGCGATGTATGCAATTCTCCTTGTGGTGTTGCAGTGAGCGTGTATACATTCATACCCGCACCCTGGTACATGCCTCTTTGGGGCTCGACATAGTGAAGCTCTGGGGTTCACGGTCAGGGGAAGTGCTTGAACCAAGCAACCATCGGATTCCTATGAGGCTATACATTATGGAGATGCTATTGTCAGCCTCGCTCGATGGGAAGGTCATCTCCGATATCAGGTTGTCTTCATGCTAGACAATCGCAGATTTTCTAGAGAGGACAAAGGAAGCGTGTAAGTCACTTGGCTTAATTGATCGCTCTGTCAGCAAAGACAACTAATCTTGCGCAGTAAAGGAGTTACCCTGCTCGAAGAGATGGACCTGACCGTGCGTTGGCGATGTCCATTCCGAAAGCTCCTTGCACTGGCCCTAGCTGATGATGTTTCTACTCATCAAAAGACGCCTGAAGACTGCTCGTATACATGACACAGGCGAGGTCTTCTGGGCGCGGAGGAACGTGCTTGGTCGGCGTCTCCTGGCTCAGCTGCTTAAGTTCGTCATACGAGAGAAGATAAACATGCGGAAACCGGTCACAAATGACGTCAACTGCATCGGCAGCCACAGCCGCAGTAGTTGACGTGTTGTTCAGCACGACGAATTCAAGGCTGGGTATGTCGGGCAGCACTTTGACAAGGCTGACCAGGAGCGCGGCGTCAACGAAGATGGTACGTGACGCCGTCTGTCTGAGCGATGAGCGCAAGCCATCAAGACTGAGGGTGTCGTAGGCGGTGGCGACGATCAAGGACTGTGAAGGCGGCATGGGCGACAGACATCTAAGGCAGTCTTGTCGCACCATAGGGATGCAGCTTGTCGCTGCAGAAAAGGTCTAGCTGTCGCAGGCCAGCACCGAGGGTGCTAATGAGGTCGTGGAATTCGACAAAGGACAAATATTGGTAAGGACCTAGCTCGAAATACTCACACTCCTTCAGCACCCCGCTGACCAGCTTGCTCTCGCGATGGATAGCCAGCAGGGTGCGGGCGCCCATGCATTTGGCGTCGCTATACTGAGGAATATCGTGCGGATCGATGGGTGTGGTTGCGCAACGAGGCCGTTAATGGCCGAGGGATTGCGACGCGGTTGCGTCTCGCCTGGCACTTTCTCGATACGGAGTTTCTGTAGTCCGTGCGCGCCATCACTCAATGCGCCGAACGCGTCTTATGCACCATTTTATCAACCCCAATAACTCAACACCATGACAGGATTAGAAGAAGCCCTTACAGAGTGTGATACTTTCGGATGCGAAGAAGATATTCTCTGGACGCAAGTTACAAAAAACATGGCGTTGTGCGCTCAACTTTGATGCGCAAATGGCGCGGCGAGACAGCTTTGACACGTTGCAAACTTCGACCACAAGAAGAGAATGAGCTTGTAAAGTACATTGACAAGCTTACAGAAGCACACCTACCACCTATAAGGGAATGGTTCAAAATTTCGCCAATGATATTGCTGGATAGCAGGTCTCTATGAACTGGGTTGACCGGATGGTTCAGCGTCATGAAGATAAGCCGTGTTCATCTCCTGAGGGTAAGACTCCACCCTGGACTAGCGTTACCCCTCAGCCCTCGCGTCGCGCGCTTAGCCCCAGCTAGCGCGTAACTGACATCCATTGCCTGATTGGTCGGCGCAGTAGACTCCAACGTGGAAAACCTCGAAATCATCGAGCTGCACGCCAAGCGTCGGACATGGCATGTGCTCAAGTAGGCAGTGTTTAGAGAGAAAACACCTTGAATGTCAATTCTACCGACCTATGCTGAGAGTTAGA